ACATGGATGACTTTTTTGTTGTTGTTTTGAGACAGGGTTTCTCTGTGTAACAGTCCTGGATCTCGCTTTGTAGACCAGGCTGGCCTCACAGAGATCCGCCTGTCTCTACCTCCTGAGGGCTAGGATTAAAAGAGTGCACCACCACGCCCAGCTCATGGAATTTAAAATTCCAAGCAGATAGATGAAATCACAGAGGGGGAAAAAAGGATGGGACCTGCCCTACTGAACAGAGGAGGAGCGGCACCAGCAGCTGGTAGACACCAGAGCCTGGAAGCAAGAGGAAAAAGCCTCTCTAGGGAGAATGACAGCCGTCCAACTGCCGAGAAACAGGTGAAGGGAGTTGGTAGCATAAAGTCACTGGAATCCACACAGAAGAACTTGGTGGACCAGGTGGTGGTGGCACACGCCTTTAATCCCAGCACTCGGGAGGCAGAGGCAGGCGGATCCCTGTGAGTTCGAGGCCAGCCTGGTCTACAGAGTGAGTTCTAGGAAAGGCGCAAAACTACACAGAGAAGCCCTGTCTCGAAAAACAAACAGACAAAAAACCAAACCAAAACAACAAAAAAAAAGAACTTGGTGGAGGGAGACACCAGGAACTGCTTTTCCTGTGCCCATCTCCCTGTTCTTTACAGAGGGGACCCAGTCTAGGCTCTTCCAGCTCCTAACCAGCTCCCTACTTCCTCCCCTCCCCCACCTTTTAATACTGTGGTACTAGGGATGGAAAAGCCTTGTGCACCCTGCGTAAGCGCTCTACCAAGTCCCTGCAGCTTCTTATCTGTGAAATGAAGATAGTAAAGTCTACTGCTAGATTCTTCAGGAGACTGAAGCCTGTAAGGGGCAATGGCACCTGCGGCTGCTCCTATAACCAAATGCTATCTGTTGGAATGTTCTTTAGACATGTGGTGATCATCTTCCTGATTCTGTCATGGCTGCCACTCCCGGTGCAAGGGCCCAACACTAGCCTCTCTTCATCTCCCCATCATGATAGCATCGCTTTCCTGATTAAAACCCTTTATGGGGGGAGGGCGGCTGGAGAGATGCTCAGCTGTTAAGAGCATCGGCCGCTCTCGTAGAGGACCTGTTTTCCGCCCCCACATGTAAGCTCACAGCTGTCTGTACTGCGGTTCTAGGAGATCTGAAACCACTCTACGAGCATCAGACATGCACACCATGTATAGACATATGTGCAGGTAAATATATTAAAAACATCAAACACTCACACATACTAAAAACAAACATCGCTGGGCGGCGGTGCCGCACACCTTTAACCCCAGCACTCGGGAGGCAGAGCCAGGCGGATCTCTGTGAGTTCGAGGCCAGCCTGGGCTACAGAGTGAGTTCCAGGACAGTCAGGGCTACACAGAGAAACCATGTCTTGGAAAACAAAAAACAAACAAAAACCATCAAAAACACTACCACCACCAGAAAAAAACAAAAACAACCCTCACCCCATTCCCTATAGCTTTCTAGAGGTCTTAAGAGAAACACACCTTCCCCCACTTGGTTAGGGGACCACACACTCCTTCCTCGTTTGGGTCACCAAGCATGCCTGGCTCCTTCTTGTTACAGGGCCTTTGCCAGGCTGTGCCAGGGGGTGACCAACCTTGACAAGAATACTTCAGGGGCGGGGGACAGCCTCCTCCCTTAGCTACCACCTCAGGAGCTCTTAGCATCTACACAGAGGCACAGTCACGTCAGGTCCCTCGCTGCTTCTGGGCCTGACTCTGTATTCTTGCTCCAGAAAAGGACCCTTCCATAATGTCGCATTTCTCTGAGGAACCATTTGATGCCCCTTAAGCCTGCTGAGCCACACCTGAGGGCTGAATCCGTGAGGAAGAACTAAAGAAATCCGTGACTTCACTAAGCCTCAGTGTGCCTGGAGGGGAGACGATGGTGTCCTCTACAGAGGAAGAACCTGGAGCCCACAGGAAAAGCTCCAGAGTCTACAGCCAGGAAGCTCCGAAGCCTCTCCCTGCGGTGGACTCCACGGCCCCAGGCAGCTTTACTATGCTGCACCCACCCGGGTAACTTTCTTCTTGGGGTTTGTTTTCAGCGGGGCATGTTGGCCGAAGTTCACTTACCCAGAATTCAGGAAATAAAACACAGAGAGCTCCTCCGGCAGGGTCTTCGACAGCCTCTGGGCATAGTCCACGATGTTGTCGTGCAGGTATCGGCTGTTGGTGTTGAGCACCAGGTTCTGCTCATGTGCGGCTTGGACCACGACAGGGTGGCAGTGCCCAACTGCAAGAGGGTCACCTCCATCACATGGGCGACTCTACTCAGCTAGCCCCACCAGATCCCCCTTCAGGTCCATCTGCAGACCCCTCCAGGGAGGATGAAGTTAATGAGGACAAGGTGGAGAGAGGGGCGTGGACTGGGGGAGCACAGAGATGATGTTCTGCAATGGAAGTTCTGAGGAGATTCCAGCAGAAGTAAAAGATGGTCCTGTAGAAACACTATCTGGAAAAACCAATGTTTTTAGAGAGCTATCTGGAGACCTTCACCTTCGGCTGGAGGGGGATGGTCAGAGGGTCAGGGGTAGGAACAGAGAGCAGAGTTAGTGAGCGCTTATCAAGCATAGTCAAAGCAGTTGAACAGTATTAACACAATTATCCAAAACACCTGAGTCAAGCTAGGTGTGTTGCTAGTTGAGTTTTGTCTATTGGCCAATGAATAACAAGGCTCTGAGGACTAAGTAACACCCCCCACTCCCCCCCCCCCCTCCCCGCAGACAGGATCTCTCTGTGAAGCCCTGATTGTCCTAAAACTTGTTATGCAGACCAGGCTGGCCTTTAACTCACAGAGATCCACCTGCCTCTGTTGCTTGAGTGCTGGGAGAGTCCTGGATTTTAACCTTTATCTGTCTCCAAAGTGCCTTCTAACTCATAGCCTTCCTTTCCTCCATCAGCTCTGGTGGCCCCAGTTTGGTTGAATTCAGTTTCCTATAGTCCCCCCACAACAGTCAATGGGGCTGAAGGCCTGCTGTCATGACCCTACCCAGGGCCAAGATCATGCTGCATTGGTGGTCATGACTGGGCAGGCTACATGTCCAGCTTGCTGTGAGTTCCAAGTGGAACTTGGACCCTAACACCTGAACCATTAACTCCGGCCTGGTTTAGCCATTTCAGGCTCCTTCACGAAGATTGGGGGACGCTCTGCCCACGGATGGTAGTTCTGTTCAACCCGGGCTGCCAATCAGATGTACAGCCTCAGCCTCCTCTCCTGCCCCACCAAAGGTGAGGCGTCATACTGACCATGAGCCACGTTATTGATACAGTCCAGGAACTCCTGCCCTTGCTCATCGTACAGGTACTGCCCTTGGCCTCGGATAATCTTAACAGGATCTTCAGGAAAAAAGAGTCTGCAGGAAGAGCTGTGGGGACAGGCAAAGAATGACGGACAGCCTTGTCTAAAGACCCGAGTGGGAAACTACACTCATCTTCCTCGCTCCTTCCCAGTTTCTGGAAAGGACAAAAGCTTGCCTCCTCATTATATGAGGAGCAGGACTGGGCAGAAAGTTGCTGAGACAAAATTGTTTAAGCCTTGGTGGCCCTCTCAATTTTGCTTGCACATAACATCAGTTCCTCTAGTCCTGGTGAAAGATGCTTTCGGAAATGCCCCATGTTAGGAGCTGGGTCTTAGCCCTTAACATTTCTTGCCATCTCAGGGGCCCTACTGCCCCTGGCTGGGGTGGGTGGCTAGCTCCAGCCACTGCCTCCTCTCTCCACGTGGAACCGAGGGTCCCTCTCACCGGCTACGAGCAGACTTCTAACCCTGCCTGTGACACGACTGCCCACCCCGGGCTAGGCCCAGCTCCTCTTGCAGGCAGCTGCCAGGGGCAAAGCCCGCACCCCGGGGCAGGGGACGTCCCGGAGCCAGGGGGTGGCCCAAGGCCGCCTCTAATAAGCTGAGGCTGAGAGAGGCGGGGAAGTCAGGGACTCGGGGCGGGCGCTGTGCGCGCCTTCCAAGCCCGCACCCGGTACCTGAGCAGCCGGCGCCTCAGGTCCAGAGTGGCCGCCTTGGCGCGCGAATCCGCGGCCATCTCGCCACGCTGCCAGTCCGGGCCCAGACACTGCGCGCTTGGCCCCCGCCTCCGCCGCTACGTAAGCCCCGCCTCCGCGTTAGCCCCGCCTCCGCCGCTACGTAAGCCCCGCCTCCGCGCTAGCCCCGCCTCCGCCGCTACGTTAACCCCGCCTCCGATTTAGCCCCGCCTCCGCCGCTACCTTGGTTCTGGTCGGGGCTTCAGTCCTGGCCCCGCTCCCAGGAGCTCCCTTCCTGGCATTCAATTATTTAAGCAACCCCCGAGCAAGCTCGTTTGTGATTCACGCCGCCGCACGCGGATGCTCTGCGCTGGCTCAGGGTCGTACCTCGCCCTTCTCTCCCACCCCTGAGATTTCCCTCCCAGGAACGTGTCCCCAGGTCGCCCTGTTGAGCGGGGGACTCTGGACTGCGGCTGGGCACGCCCAAGCAGGTTGCCCTTTCTGCTCTTTAGAGCGTGACTCCCTGTGAGGGTAATGACTGGCACCTTGGAAGGACGCAGCCCTTCCCAGCTCGGGGCCACGGTTGCGACAGTCCACAGAGATTACTAGAATCTTGCTAGGCCCAGGCATGGTGAGCTTGACATGTCGCTACACGAAGAGAATCTTGCAGAGGGGCAGATGGGAAGAGGGTTGGGAAACTTATGAGTTCTTCCTTACGTACTGTCCAGGAAACAGGCCCAGAAAAGAAAGGGTTTTGCTCCCAGACACACAGTAGGCCTGCTGCAGAGGCTGCATTAAATCAAGGCCTCCTGAACCTAGCACACTGACTGACAAGAGGCCTCTGCGGTCGGGGAGCTGGGAGAGCAGAGGTACTCCCTCGAGGGTTGGGCGCTGGGATGGACTACCTCGACGAACCCTGGACAATGGCTTAGTCTTGTCCACATGCCAGCCTTCTGCCCATTATCCAAAAGCTCATTTCTTCTCTTCCCCACAAAACGGCAAAAATGCTCACAGCACATATTAAAGAACTTTATATTCTTGCATTTCTTGTTTTTATTGTGGTAAAATATACATAAAAAACATTTTGAAGGGTACAATTCAGAGGCATGTGTACATTCTCATCCTGTCACCACCACCCAGCCACAGAGCTCTTTCTTCCATCTCCCAAATTGAGTGGATTGCATGTTTTCAACCATAAAACTACCCAAGAGTCCATCTTCCTTCCTGCCCCTGGCCCCAGGCTAAAGGTCCTCTGTCCATTTTCTGGCGTCTGACCTTCAGGCCAGGAGGGCACAGACTGAGAGGAGAGAAGGGGTGAGCAAGACTTGGAGGTAGAGGGGAGCATGGCGGTGCAAGCCTGTCATACCAGCCCTGGGGAGGCTGAGGCAGTTAGAGACCAATCGAGGCTCTATATTGAGACCCATTCCCAACAAGCAAGCAAACGTACCCTGCCCCCACCCCTTGACTCTAGGGCAGAGTTTTCTCAGCTGGCATTCTCTGGGAGCAGCTTTACCACTGGACGAGAGTGTCCAGGATTTCAGGTGTATGCTAACCTTGACTCTGTCCACTCCGTGCCAGGAGTGTTCCCCACTCCTGTGATAACTCAAAGCTTCCTCTAAGGATGGGAATCGAGTCAGTCAGCTTCTCTCAAGCCTCAGGTCCATCTGTCTAGGGGGACAGCCATCCTGGTGGTTACTTTAGTTGCCATGGGACACGGAACACTCAAGGACTCAATAAACAGACTCCTCTCTTCTAGAATTGTATGACTTAGAGAGAACTGTCCCTCTTGCCAGGGAGACCCAAGGCCTCTCAGTCCTTGAGGCTTATTGGTGAGGCAGGGCATTCCCCAGAGTCTCATCTGGGACCTTGAACAAGTCATTCTCTCTGTCCTCACTCCAGGCTGGCATAGGACTCAGTGGCTTTGTATGTCTAATTGCAAGGATATAAGGTATGAGGCCACAAGGGGGCAGCAGTGGGCCAAGAATGGTCCATTGCAGCCAGGCTGAGAAACGGAGAACACTGGCTTTCCACCTCTACCAAGCTCTACTTGATGCCCACCCATTGTCAAGGGACTGCCCAACAGATTCCATGCACAGCCAAACAATTCGGAAGATAAATTAGGTGACTTCCAAGAGCATGGGTCCAATCCCACGCCTATCACTCCAGTCTGGCTGTTCACTCCTGAGTAGATGACTACTCACTCTGAGCTTCAGATTTCCTATGTGTAAAATGGACATAGTGATACCTACCACTGCAGCCCCTCTCTTTGCAGAACTGATGAGGAGATCAAGTTCTTAGGTGGAGAGAGGAGTGCATCGCTAACTGTAGTGTGTGGTGGGCTGGGGAGGCTATTCTGCATCTCCAAAGCAGCCATGGACACCAGTGAGCCACATTGGCCATTTTGGCCCACTACATCTGTCTTCTTCTTCTTTTTTTTTCTTTATTTCTGGTTTCCCCAGTTGATTCCGTCAACTGGCAGAGAGCACGGTCTGCCCACTTATTGTCAGCTGCTCAGGGGGACAGAGGTAGGGACTTGACATAACCTGTGTGTGGCTGGGTCCCTTCTGCTAACTAAGGAATCTATGTGTATGGTCTGGTAAGTGTGCTGTTCTGTAGAGCCCAGTCCTTGGAGGAAAGAGGCCAGAGAGACTGCTTTTTTGCTGCGTGCAGAGAAAGTGCTTTTGTCATCTGTGAAAATGGGCACGTTGGCTGGGCATCTCTCTTCAAGTTGTTCTAAGGACACACAGAGGGAAGACATGGACCCACTAGGCAGGACTCTGGTTACTACTAGGACTTGCAGAGGATACAGCGGGGACAGCCAGCACAGGTACCTTGGGGTGTCTGACCTGTTCTAGACTCTCTGTGTATTCCACAAAGCTGAATATACTGAACCACATTTGAATTGTGAGCATTACTGTCTCAGGCTACAGATGAGTGGCAGGAGGCATTATTTAAGATGCTACAACAAAGGCTAAGAATGTAGCTTAGTTGGTAAAGTGCTTGCCTAGTATGCATAAAGCCTTAGGTTCGATTCCCAGCACTGTAAAAAAAAAAAAATGGGCATGGTGGTGCACAACTGTAATTCCAGCACTTGGAAGTAGAGACTGCAGGGTGGTGGTGGTGGTGGTGGTGGTGGTGGTGGTGGTGGTGGTGGTGGTGTCAGAAATTTAAGGTTATCCTCAGCTACATAGTGAGTTCAAGGCTAGCCTGGGCTACATGAAAAAGATGTTTTTGTTTTATTTTTGAAGGGCTACAACAAGATCTACTCTCCCATATTTTCTCATTTAAATATGACATTGACACTTTGCTCATTGAGAGGTGGGTCTGTCTTCTTCCCCTTCAATTGGGATGAACCTCTGACTCTGGCAGCAAGTGACAGTATGTGACTTTGGAGGCTTCATCATAAAAGGTGACACAGCTCTCTAGGAATCCTGCTGCCATGCTGTGAGGAAGCCCAGGCCATTCCAACAGGTCATAGGTAGGCAGGTGTCATGGCCATCGGGATCCTAGCTGGCAGGCACCAGTCACCAGATGAGGAAGAGTCCAAGAGAGACCCACCCAGCTGGTCCTCTGAATCCTTAGAACCGAGAGAATGAATATTTTGAGGCAACAAGTTTAGAGTGTCCTTGCTTCACAAGCATAGCAGAAGGGCATACAGGGACTTTGTGACATGTGACTGGTCCCAGGACTCTGCTGACATGTGTGGGTCCAGGCCTTGAGCCTATACCCTCCTATCTCCTAACCCTGAACTATATCCTCTGGATTCTGGGATGGCTCTGCCCCCAGGGAAAGCCCCGTTTCCTCTTCAGCAGGAACCATCAGGATGAACTCAGCTGGAGGTGACCAGGGAAGTCTGCAAGCATAGGCACACCCAGACACACGTGTGTGGTTTATTCCTCACGGCACCTTTACGCGGAGAGGGATGTGAGGCCGTGGCTGGAGCGGGTAGCTAGGAACCTTTGTTAGAGGTGTTGAAGCCCCTTCTCAGGGGACAGGGGTTTCTGTCACAGGTGTTTTGCTCAGGCTTGCAGGGACCAGCCTTTGGGTTCACGGTGTCTCTACCACCTACGAGGCCAGTTTCTGCCAGGCTGACCAGAGTTCTAGGTGGGAGACTTGGGGTCAGTGAGACCCAAGTTCTGAGCAGGAGGCATATCTCCTCAGGGCTGACAAAGCCTCCTTCTGTACCTGCTCTGGGTGAGGTGATAAGGAGACCGGAAGTAGCAACTAATGCATCTGGGTCTCTTTACCCTACAGTCAGGGGTCACTGAGCTGCCTGCAGCTGGCTCCACACTGAGGTATTCACAGAGCCCTGCCATTTCCCGAGGCCCAAGGTTACAAGCTCCTGTGACAGGTAGCTTCTGGAAGCCTGCTGAGCTTGGGTAGAGCAAGGCCCTCTTGGGCTCCTTTCCATCACCTTCTTCCCAAGTGCTGGAGTCTAGGAATCTTCGCCTGCCCTGTTGAACACAGGGTCCCAATGCAGCTGCCCGTGGCCGGGTCCAGAGGCAAGAAGGTACAGCAGTTGTCCAAGGGGGTCTTGTTGGACAGTGAGAAGTCCGAGCAGTGGGGCTTCAGGGAACAGTTGTGTGTCTCTGCTAATCAGGTGATTGCAGGCCCAACCCGGAGTCTGTCCAGCCTCATCTGAGCCAGGCATTTTCACCTTCGTCAGCTTCTCTAGGAAAGGCAGGCCCTGCCGGGGGCCCCTTTAAGCACGAGTTTCCCCAGAGCGGCCTGTCTGTCTGCTTTCCTGCTGGCTTCCTGTGCAGGTTGTCCGGAGGCTGGTTGGCACACTCTCAAATGTTACAAGGCCACCGTTGGCACATCCCATAAAGAAGATCAATATATTACTGTTTTGTTTTTTTTACACAAGTTAAAAACATCCAAACGGATCTGTACAGGTTGGGAGCCATGTCTGAGGATCACTGGAAAAGGAGGGAGAGATGGAAGGTGATGAAGAGGCCTGGAGAGGTCCTTGTCACCCTCACCAGCAACCTCTACCCTGATGATTTCTTCAGGAAAAAAGTGTAGCCCACTTTCAGTGGGGCAGCTGGGATAAGTCCCAGGAGGATCCCCAATGGTTTTGAATTGGTAGGGCCGGATGTCAACCAAAACCCAGATGACCAGCAAGGCAGATGACACTTGTCAGCTAGGACCAAGCTCCAAGCCTTGGCCATGTGACCACAAAGTCCCAAACATCGTTGGAAACCCTGACTGTTCAGGTACTGTGAGACAGTGGTAGTGAGACTCAAGCCTCTGTATGATGGTATCTGGTCCCCATGGGTCCTCTCTCTCCCTCTAACTCTCCCATCCCAACTCCTTCAGGCCCACCCTTGAGACCCTTTCCTGAAAGGTACCTTATGCCAGCAGCCAGGCACGGGCAGCCCGTCAGGGCCCTGGAAAAAAAAGGAGGTTTAAGTGACGCAGCAGGAGGCTGATGGCCTGTCAATACCTCCCCACCCTTCCTGGGACTTTAGGGAGATGGAGCCAGGGAGTTGCTACTTGAAGCCACTGGACTCCACCTGAAGCAGGGTTTGCCCATCTGAGGACATAATGTCCTCTCCTTGCACTTGTCCTGTCCCTCTCATGGGGCTTTGTGGGCAGAAATGGGACTCTCTGATGTAATGGGCATTGTGCTAGACATTTGCCAGCCAGAGGAGGGTGTGATCCTCTGAAAAGGGTGGCATGGCTTCCTGCCTGTTGGAGTGCCATCCTGGGGCCCTGAAAGCTTCCAGCCTTTGGGCCGGAATGCCTCCAAGAGAGTGACAGTGCAGGGGGTGACATCTCTCTGGCCACTATGATTGGATCTGGGAGGCAGACAAGTGTCATCAGGATGAACCCTGGGCATCAGAGATGGGGTTGTCTGGAAACGTCAACAATGTCCACCCAGCCATGAGACATGAGCATTGGATGGGCTTCCTCAGGTGGCCTGGAGGGCTGGAGAGCTGGAGGTGAACAAAATGTCAAGTCCCCGGGGGACCCTGAAGCAGAAACATTCCACTCTGTTCCAAAGCACAGGTATAGGGAAAACACATGGGACACACTCCCTGAGCCCCTTCCAAGTACATGCTGGGGTTCATTTGGGGGACCAGAAGGTGAGGAGAGGAGAGGAGGGGTAGAATGCACCAGAAGGCAGGAATGAGGAAGAGAGGGCGCAGAGCCAGCAGACCAAAGCATCCCGGAAGGCACAGCATCGCACACACAGCACACAGCAGCCAGACTGCGTACCACAGGGCAGGGCCCGATGCCCTTCACAAGGCCCCGGGAGCCCGGTGCCCCTCGCTTGCCTCCACATCGAGGATGTTCCTGTGTTAAAGACAAAGACTTGCTCACGTGGAAGAAGTCTGTGCAGGCTCTGGGGAGACAGGGCTGGGTTCTCCCAGTCTCCACTGTCTTTTTGTGTTCGTGTGTATGTCTGTGTGGGTGTATGCATGCACTTGGGTGCACATGAGTGTGGAGCTCAGGTCCTCAGGCACCTTCTTTTCTTTGAGGCAAGGTATCCATTGGCCTGGAACTCTGCCATGTAGGCTGGGCTAGCTGGCCAGTGGGCTCCAGAGATTTGCCTGTCTCCACCTCGCCAGCACATGTCACCATGTCTAACTTTCCATGTGGGTTCTGGGGAACTGAACTCAGGTTTTCACACTTGCAAGTGGTTCACTATTTGCGCCATGTCCTCAGCCTCTGGCTGTCTGTTTTTTGAGTCAGAGTCTCACGATGTAGCAGAGGCCTCCAACTTTCCATCCTTCTGCCTCAAGCTCCTGAGTGCTGGGATGAAAGTCTTTATTTTCTCTCACTGATATCTCAGACCCACCAGGGGCAGAGGAAGGTACAGAGGGTTGGAGGAACTCACTGGAGGCCAGAGGACCGAGTAGACATCCCTGACCCTGGGTCAGTTTGCATACTCCCCAAAGCTGACAAGGGTGCCTGGGAGTGAACATCTGGATGGCTTCATTGTGGAGACCCAGCTATTTCATTTTCCTGTCCTTTTTGAGTACCACTTATAGGCCCTGATATGTAAACCCTCCAGCTTTCTACAAAACAGGAACTGAACTGTGGGAGTTTCACTACCAGGTCTGGTGGGTTATCAAGAGCTATTGCCATGAGGAAATGAGACAGATATGTGGGGAGGAGGGAAGGAAGGGCCTGTGTGTTTACGGAGGGGACTAGGGAAGAGGCTAGACCAAGCCGCAGGGAAAAAAAGATACCGGAAGGAAAGATGCCGCAGGAGAATGAGAGGCCTGGGAAAGGTAGGGTGGTGTGACTTTTCCAGTGACTGAAGAAATCTCAGGCCAGCCTGGTCTCAAGTCCTTAGGAAGTCAGAGATCCCAGTGAGGTCTTAGGCAGCCATGGTCAGGGTGGGGAAGGGGGGCTGGTCACTCACTGACTTTGTGACACACACACCAAGTCTGTGTGTCTGCTGGGCTTCCCTCCCCAACCCCTAGCCCCATCCCAGGGCATCCCCAAATTCCTGATGACTCTGGAAAAAGCCAGTTCTGTTCCTGTCCTGGCTCCTCTCAACCTCTACCCAAGGTTAGCCTGAGATGGGTCTCCACTCCAGTCAGCTCTGCCTTGAGGCTGACTAAATAGAAGTAACCCGGGGTGGCAAACACTTCCTGGCATCTTTCTGCCACGCTGGTGGGAGAATCAGATCCACAGCACGGGGAGCTACGATGCTGGCAACGGCACTATGGCTGTTTGGAACTCCATCCTGCTGAGACACCTACCACAGGGCAGGGCTGGTCAAGGCCTGGTGGGCCCGGTTCTCCCTTCTGGCCTTTCACTCCTTTCCGGCCAGGAACCCCTCGCTCCCCCTGCATAAGAAGGAGATGGTAGGGTAGCCGTGATTCCCAGGCTTGGGACCCCTCCACCACCTCCCAGTGACGTGCCCCAGGACCCAGCAGCCACCAGGCCCAGCTTTCGGTCCAGTCTCCCCCTCCCTTCCTGCTTGCCCCGTCTCCCTTCTCCCTTGCCCTCACCTTCTCTCCACGTTCACTCCGGTCGCCCTTTTCTCCCCTGGGTCCAGGGAAACCCTGACAGATGAAAAGTGAAGCCTGAAATGAGGGCCGAGCCTGCTTCTCTGTGACATGATACCTCTGCTCCTCTGTCATCTATCACCCTCCCTCGTCCACATGTAACTGTGGCACCAACTGCCAGGCTCTGACTGTTAGCCTGTGTGCATGCTGGGTACCAGGTGGGCACAGGAAAAGAGTACATTTAGGGCCCCAGCTCTGTTCCTGGCTGGAAATCCTCCCAGAGGTTTATCCAGAACTGGTGGAGAGGAGCTTTCTCCTCCTGTCACAGACACAGCTGATACAGGCTCTGGCTTGGCTGGGACGGAGGAAACCTACGAAAGTCATGTAGCCATCTTCAGCAGCCTGAGAGAAGGTTACCTGTGCTCTCCGCCCTTGGCTCAGTTTCTTCTATGTTCATCTCTTAGTCTAAGGTCCATCTACTCAATCTCGTGACTAAGCATCCAGTGGAGCCCAGGCTGCGGGCTGGATGCTGGGACAGAAATGGACTTGGTGTGTTTCCTCCCTTACGTCTTCTGGGGCAGGCTATGGGGGGCAGATGAGGATCTTGCTCAGGCACAGACGTATAAGACAGATGTGGCAGGGCCACAGGGGATAGGCTGTTCTGATAAGGGATGGGGACAACAGGAAGTTGCTGAGGAAGTCACCATCCAGCTGGGTGGAAGAGGGCTGGGGCTTGCTAGACAGAGAAAGCTCTCAGGTACCACACTGACTCCAGGCCTCCCGGGAGGCAGCTGAGGCCACCCCACAGCTGCACAGAGTCTCTTTAGCTTCACCCCATTACCCTCCCTGGGTCCAGAGCCTGAACAGGGTTCAGCATGGTTACTTTCCGGCTGTGTCTCATCAAGGGAAGGTGACCCTCCCAGTCAGGAGCCTGGCTGGTCCCTCTCTTCCTGGCCCATGTTTGCTTACCATGGCAACATCACTCTCTCTTTACAGTCTAGGGCATAGCCCAGAGGCCTGGCAGCTCTACATCAGTCCCATTTCCCTCCCCACCTACAGGACCTTCTTGCTGATCACTCCAGCTCCAGGTGATAGGGGATCAAGCCGGGCCAGAGAGCAAGCTGCATTCCTATAACCCAAGGATGGCTAGGGTTGATTAGAGAGCCAAAGAGATTTTCTCTGCACCAGTAGAGGGAGGCAAATCTTCCTACTGATTTGGGTCCAGGAGGATACTTGTTTGGAGGGACTGACTGAACCAGCGTTCTGGTGATTCCCACAGTGGGAAAGCAAAGACCAGAGAGGGAGAGGGCTGGGGGGTGTTGACATGGCTGTGCCCTGGATACTGTGTTAAATCCCTAGACTTTTCCAGTGTGAGTCATTTGAAGCAGTTTGAACTATTTTTTGTTTATGCTGTGTTACCAAAGGAGGCCTGACGAAACCAACATCAAGCTAATGCTTCCCTTTGTCTCTTCACAATATAGCCTTAACAAGGTCTCATTACTGGTCATCAATACACTGCAACAGCCTCCTTACTTGTCTCTTCACCTCCATTTTACAGTCATCCACCCACCCATCTACCCATCCATCCATCCATCCATCCACCCACCCACCCACCCACCCTCCCACCCATCTGCCCATCCATCCAATCATCCCTCAGCTATCATTCCTGTCCATTAATCCATTTTCACCCATCCATTCACCATCCATCCATTAATCCATTCATCTTTTCATCATTCTTCCTTCAGCCACTATTCATCCATCTAACCCCTTCATCCACCATCCACTGTCCATCTAACTAACTGACTGTGTCTATCCATCCTCTACCGTCTGTCAACCCATTAGCTCATCCATCCATCCTCTACTCATCCACCAAGTCTGTCAATTTTCCACTGTCCCTTTGCTGTCAACCTATCATCCATAGGTTGTACTCCAGGTATGTTCACAGTGACATCTCCAGAGTACTCCAGGGAATGTCACTGGACTTTGCGCTGAGGACATAGGGAAGCCAGTCAGCAGCAGCCCTGGGGATGGGCCACAACTTGAGCTAACCAGATTGCTATGTGCATGGGCAACTTGAGAGCAGAAGACGTCCACAAGAGGGCCCAGTCACTCACAGTGAATCATAAGAAACTTACATCGAGTCCTGGCTCTCCAGGTCTGCCCTGAGGAGAGATACAGAGGGTGTGTGAAGCGGGTGGAGATGAGATATTATGTACTCAGATGTTAGGGAGTTCAGCCCAGCGGCTGGTAACAGACAAGAGGCAGGGCAGGGTGGTGTCATAGAGCCATAGTAATTGGTCCTGTGGGGTCCAGGGACTCAGCAGGGTGCAGAGGATGAGCTCCCCCAAACTGAGTGACATGATGGGTATGTGGTCACAGTGGGCAGGGGTCTCAAGGTAAGGCAGTTACCTTCTCTCCTTTGGTTCCTGGCAGCCCAATAAGGCCCGGTGGGCCGACTGGTCCCTGGGTGGAAAAGGAGAGGGTCAGCAGGCATGGTGGGCATAGGACGCAACACCTCTAGGGAAAACAAAGCTCATGACACTCACAGGCAGGCCGTGAGGGCCTCTCTCGCCCGATGCACCCTTGTCTCCCTTGGCTCCATCCAGGCCCTGGAAGTGAAAAGGAAAACCAGTCAGGAGAGGGGACGGGGCAGGCAGGACAAGGAAGTGTGGGTCTGCGTGGAGACTAAGGTGTGCGTGACAGGTGGAAGAGAGATAGACTCCAGGCTCTGTCAGGCCTGGCCCCAGCTTGCTCCATGATAGAGTGAGTCACGTGTGTGTACATTTTCCCTTCTTCCACACACAGGGCCCCCGGGACGGTCACCATTATACCACAGAAACAGGTTGACTGACCACCCCCAGCTTTCTGAAGCCCAGACTTGAACCAGGACCCTCAGCGGATCTCTCTGCAAACAATGGTGTGTTGAAGCTTGGGACAAAATAGGATCAGAAACAATGCTTGGTCACCACACCAGATCAGGGTTCTGTGACTCACAGTCCTCCACAGGGCCTCTGAGCTGGCGAGGGAGAGATTAGATCCTGTATGACAAGAGGTGAGACCAGCTAGACTTTCACCCTGTGTTTGCCTCCCTTGGGGCTGGCACATGGCACAATACACTTGAGGTTTTGATTTAACAGACGAGAATATGACATGATGAAATGCACACCAAAGCCAAGACTTCAAGTCCAGGCGGTAGACAGTCAAGATGCAGATGTGTATGGGCAAGAGCTGGGGAGGAGGCAAAGAAGGGAGAGCACAGGGAGGTGGCAATGGGCAGTGGGTGGAAATGGGCAAGGAGGCTGATGTAGTGGGAGATGGGCTGGAAGAGGGATAGAGTTGGGGTGCCTAGGCAGAGGGAGAAGGAAAGGGCAGAGCCCCAAATGTGGGACGGAGCTGCTCTTTAGGGTACTGGCAATGTACCAGCTGAGCAGGGGCATCACTCTGTCCATTAATAAAACTTTCTGAATGAACAGGGTGTGTCTGCACTCACCTTGGGACCCTGGATCCCCTGAAGGCCCTGGAGGAAGAAAGCAGATCAGTAGAGCTGTGCGACTGAGTGGAAACTTTTAAGGCAAGACCCTCTCGAATCAGGCTAGTCACTGGCTCCTGAGGCTTGCCCGGGGCTCTGGTGTGTCCCACTAATGTGCCCTGCTCCCCGCAGAGACAAGCCTTTCCTCCCCTGGGCCACCCCCACCCCAGATCCCAGTTCACTAACCACTCAGTATCCCAGTTGCTTTAGGTTAAAATGTCCTTACCATGGGGCCAGGGGGGCCAGGAGGACCTGGGGGTCCTGGCTCCACTATGATCTGGGCCTAGGAAGGGTTAGAAATGGGTTAGTTACCCTATGCCTGTTGCCTCTCATCTATTCACCCTCTGGAGCTCCCCACATTCTTGCAAGCACTCCTGGGTGCCACACGCTGAACCCTTGGGCAAGGCTCCTTCCTGCCCCCAGAAGGGTGCAACTCAGTCTCAACTGGAAGTGGGGTGGAGGACAGTCTGAGGCTCCATCACTCCCCCTTTCCCACTGTCCTGTGTTGCGTCAGGTAAAGTGGCTTCTCTGTAACCAAGGCTCAGGGACCCCACAAGGTTTGGGCTTAGTGTGGGGACCCCCGCCCCCAGTCTCAGTTACCCCTTACCAGGCTCTCTTGTAGGTGGTCAGATGCTGACTCTCCTTTCTCTCCTTTGGGACCATCAGCACCCTAGGGCAGAGTGGCCTGTGAGCTCTTGTTCATCCCGAGGTCACCTCCCTCCCACTGGGCTCCGTTGCCACCCTCCCCTCCACGGCAGTGATGAGTTGGTCTCTTTCGTTTTTTATCAGTTTTCCCCAAATCACATGTCCTGCATAGGGAGCAGAGTAGTATGTCTACTTTTTTTTTTTTTTTTTTTTTGTTTTTTTGAGACAGGGTTTCTCTGTGTAGTTTTGGTGCCTCTCCTGGAACTCACTCTGTAGACCAGGCTGGCCTTGAACTCACAGAGATCCTCCTGGCTCTGCTTCCCGAGTGCTGGGATTAAAGGCATGCGCCACCACTGCCAGGCACAAATGAAGCTTTTCTAATGAGGCCCCAGAAGCAATAGAAATGCTAATGAATCAGGGGTGTTTCAGCTGCTAGTCTTGGTCCTCTCCAGTTCATGCTGTCATGGGACTGGAAGCTTGTTACTCATGTTAGCAGTGAGGAAACCCAGACCGTGGGAGATTCCACTGCTGTGCTGGGATCCAGGGCTGAGAGGTGGGCCAGCTTGGGTCACTTAGCCACCCAGCTAAGTAGATTCTGCCAGGCTGGGCCTCCCTACCTCACCTGCAGGGCTCCTGTGGGGGTGGGGAAGTCCTTCTGCAGCTGAGGTTGTATAGGCTGCAGGGCATTCATGTGAGGACGCCCCCACACTGCCAACATCAGCAAGTCCCCAGGGTGGGGCCCAGCCAGCCACCTACCGGAAGGCCTGACAGGCCCATCTCTCCTGTTTCCCCTTTGGGCCCAGCTGGCCCAGGCTCTCCTGGGTCTCCTTTTGGTCCTTTGGGACCCTAAAAGTCACGAGAAAAAGGAATCAGTGGGGACTGATGGGCGCTCTCCTTTCTCCTGACCCTTGTGGACCCTTCAGCTTAACAGGCTTGACCATATACCACACCTGGTTTTTTAATTTGTTCATCCATCCATCCATCCATCCATCCATCCATCCATCCATCCATCTATCCATCCATCCATTCATTTCTATCCCTTCCTGTCTCCATCCTCTGTTTTTTTTTTGGCTATGAAGCCAAGGATGGCCTTGAGGTCCTGATCCACCTACTTCCAGTTTCTCAGTGTTGGGATTACACACCTTACTCTACATTCCACTTTTTGCCTGTGAGTCTCCACCTCTAGCCCAGGTAGTTGGGAACATTGGTTGAACGCAATAGGGGAGCTATGTGGGCACCCCACCCCTGCATTCCTGTATGCTTGGGGCAGCTTATGAGGTAGGGGTGGATAGGGAGCATGTGAGATTGGTGTGTTCCCTCTGGGACACTCATGAGGCCAACACTTATTTTTAATTAAAATTTTCATTTATTCCTGTTTTATGTGTATGGCTGTTTTACACGTGTGTATATGTCTGTGTACCACATGAGTGCAGTGCCCACAGAGGCCAGAAGAGAGTTGGATCCCCTGGGACTGGAGTGACAGATGGTTATGAACCTCCAAGTGGGTGTTGAGAACCAAACCCAGGTCCTCTGGAAGAGCAGCAAGAGCTCTTAACCCCTGAGCCATCTCCAGCCCCACCCCACCCCCACTTTTTTTGTTTGTTTGGTTTGGTTTGGTTTTTGGTTTTTGATTTTCTGAGACATGGTTTTCCTGTGTAGCCTTGGCTGTCCTGGAACTCCCTCTGTAGACCAGGCTGGCCTCAAACTCACAGAGATCTGCCTGCCTCTGCTTCCTGAGTACTGAGATTAAAGGTGTGTGCCACCACTGCTCAGATGCTAGCCCCTTATTTTATTTATTTATTTATTTGTTTATGTATGTATGTATATATGTATTGTATGTATGTATGTATGTATGTATGTATTTTGTGGTGCTGGGGCTTGAACTCATGGCCTCATGCATGCTAGACAAGTGCTCTACTGCTGAGTTCCAGCCCTCATGAGGCCAACTCTGTGCTCATGTGTCTTTGAGTGACAGCGTTCCTTCACTCAACCAATTATGACAGGTCCAAGATGTTCCTCCTACTAGGGATTCAACAATAAAGATACATCCACCCACACCTGGGGAGATGCTCACCCATGTCTACATAGTAACACACACACACACACACACACACACACACACACACACACACACACACACACACACACACAATACCCAGTACGACATTGACATAGAAATGAAAGGCTCAGAGACCTTCTCTCCATCGATTCCTGGGGCGCCAGGCAATCCAAGTTCACCCTGGAAAGGAACAATTGGCAAAAGGAATTATGCCTTCCTCAACAGCCAGTGGGTTAGTGGCCCAAGGTGGGAGCTGCTGTCTCCCTGGTTAGCTCACAGCCCCCGGGGTTGGGTCCCTGCAGATGGACTTCCAGGAGGGTGGCCACTGTCTCCCTTTGTGTATTCAGCCTGAAGGGCAGCTGGAGTTGGTAGCTGTTACTGCCAGCTGGGGTACTTAAGATTAGGACTGCAGGGTTCAGTGGCTTGTTCTAGGTCACAGAGTCCAGGGATGCTAGTGTCAGAACCAGACCCTGCCCAACCTGGGCTCTTGGTTCTGAGAAAAGGAGTGATGAACAGGTATATGCCACAGAATGGCTGTGTGCATCTGTGGGCCACTGTATGTCCCCAGGGCTCCATTCTTCAGTTCAGGCTCTCTTCTGAAGAGCTGAGGTCTAAAGAAGGGGTGTAAGTTCAGGAATGGGCAGGACCCCTTTCTCTGAGCCCTATAAGTCAGGCTACTATGCCAGGAGGAAATTGGGGTACACATATCAGAGAGGAGAGGGGAAGTGGTACCTAGAGATGAATGCTTGGGGGTCCCATAAATGCAGCTACACTAACCTTGGCTCCAGGGATCCCTGGTGGCCCCGGAGCTCCCTGTGGCCCAGGAGGACCCTGTATGCAAAAGATCAAGCCAGTTATGGTTAGACAAGACCCTCCACCACCTACCAAGCCTTCTCACCTCAGGTCCCCAGCAGCTTACTTCCCACCCAGTCAAATCAGCTCTTACAGCATGCAGTTTGGTTTGGCCTTCAAGTCTACAGAGGGGCCAGTGAGAGGGTACTGGCCGTTGGAGGAGATACTGGTGTCCAAAGCTGGAGGGGCCTCTGCCCTCAGAGAAGTTCTCCTCAAACATGCCTTCCTTTATAACACTCCCCTGCTTAAGATTTGGCAGTGGCTCACCTTTGACTCTCAAAATAAGCTGAAGTCTTTTTCTAGCCTTCAAGACAGGCCAAATATGCAAAGGAACAACGGCCTGGTCCTGCCACTTCTGCTGGGCCTGTGAACTCACTGACCGTCTGGATCTGTTGTCTGCTGTCCCAGAAGTCCCCCAGTCACACGGTAGACTGTGTGTCCACACTGTCTCATTCTAAGCTCTTGTACCAACACACTCAGATGGCCAACGCATGCCCTCCCCCAGAGGCCACATCTTACACAGCTCCTCTGACCTTGTTTCAAGTTCTCTTTTCAGCCAGTCCCCTGCTTATCGATGTCCCCGTTGCGATGGCTCTGGGCTTATTTCCTCCGCCCTTCCCACCTTCTTTAGGGCCAGGCTCAGCACTCATGTCCCAGGGAGCTCCCTGCCTCAAGCCCTCCCCATATCAGCCCTCACACACTTACACAACTCCGCCTGGCCACCCCCAGTACACTGGTAGTTTGACATCCTTACACTCAAGAACTAACTAGAGCTCCCATGACCCATGACATCGAGTCTCTTCTTACTTTTGTACCCCACACCAACCTCCTGGCTCCCTGAATGAGGATTCTACCATATGTTTCCCATAAGCCTGGGATATACCATGCACCTCAGGCCCATATCACACCACACCACACCACACCACACCATGCAGGCCAGTGTGGGCCATAGTTACCATCAACTTGTACTTCCCAGAGGCCTGTGGAAGGTAACTGGAATTGATACTTAGGCAGGGTCGGGCACTAATGCTCACTTCAGTTTCTGACGACTACCTCATCCCATCTTATATCCCTCCCTGAACCCAAGAGCAGTTGGCACCATCTCTTTTTGGCCTGGTGCCCAGAGACCACATGAGTCCCAAGGCTCCTTGGTCAGCCTTGTCTTTCTTATCTCCTTACAGTAATTGTTAGAAGCTCTCCTGACAGTGGTACCTAGAAAATCCCCAGAGGCACAGTTGGGTTTGGTGAGAGGGCTTTCCTTTTTTTGCCTTGGCTCGTGGGAAGGTCAGGGCTCTCTGAGTCACAGTCACAGAAAATCTCTCAGCACTGTGTGGATCTCCACACGGGACCAATTTCCACATTAGGTGCCTGAGGAAACCCAGGTCTCTATGCTGTATTGTCCTTGGTCCCATAGGTAAGACACAGTGAGCCATTGCTCCCTCAGAAATGGACATAAAGGGTGCATCCAGGGCCCCATGAGGAACACTCTTACCTTCAGGGCATCTAAGATCCGGCCATCATAGTCGATTACCACTGTGTCACCTTGTTCTCCCTTGAGGCCTGGGGGACCCTGTGGCAGGAGAGAAGAGCTGCATCATGGGTGACATAGCAGGTCTTTCGTCACATTCAGAGATGAGGAGCTCAAGAGTTTGTCACCCAGGCCACAGGCATGCCTGTGCATCACCATCATCATAGCAAGCTGTTTGTTCATTAAAGGTCCCATGAGGGAAGTGGCAGGGAGCCTGGGGCCAGCTGCAGAACACGCTGCCATCTGACCGGAGAGAGGGGCTGCCTGTGGTTTGCCTTCATGTGGATAGTCAAATCCAATGAGGTCCAGTTCTCACGGAAAGTGGAAAGCCCAATGCTGTGGGATGGTCTGTATGTCAAGTGTGTTGCTGATTGGTCAATAAATAAATCACTGATTGGCCCGTGGTCAGGCAGGAAGTATAGGCGGGACAAGGAGGAGAATAAAGCTGGGAAGTTGAAGGCTGAGTCAGAGAGACACTGCCAGCCGCCATGATGACAAACAGCATGTGAAGATGCCGGTAAGCCACGAGCCACGTGGCAAGGTATAGATTTATGGAAATGGATTAATTTAAGCTGTAAGAACAGTTAGCAAGAAGCCTGCCACGGCCATACAGTTTGTAACCAATATAAGTCTCTGTGTTTACTTGGTTGGGTCTGACGGCTGTGGGACTGGCAGGTGAGAGAGATTTGTCCTGACTGTGGGCCAGGCAGGAAAACTCTAGCTACAGCCCAACACTATTGTTTTATTTTTTGGGACAAGGTCTCACTGTAGAGCCCTATCTAGCTTGAAACTTGCTATGTAGACCCTGCTGGCCTCTAACTCAGAGATCTACCTGCCTTTGGCTCTCAAGTGCTGGGATAAAAGGCGTGTACCACTATGTTCTCTCTCTCTCTCTCTCTCTCTCTCTCTCTCTCTCTCTCTCTCTCTCTCTCTCTCTGTGTGTGTGTGTGTGTGTGTGTGTGTGTGTGTGTGTGTGTGTGTGTGGCAGGATCTCTAGGTCAGGCTGGCCTTAAAACTTAGTATGTAAGTTAGGATGACCTTGGACTTCTGATTTTTCTGTCTCTACCTTCCAAGTGCGGAGACTACAGGTGACAGGTGCGCACTACCACGCCTGGTTTACGCAGTATCAGGAACCTAAAGACCTTGGAGCCCAGGGCTCCATGTATACTAGGGAAGCACTCTAGGGTCTGAGCTACGTCCGCAGCCTACAAAGCCTCCTTTTGATGGGGAGACTTTTAAATGTGTCCAACTGAAGCAACCCAACTGCCCCAAATCCCTTCTAAGACACTGTGTTGACCAAGGGAGGCTGATTCCACCTTATTGACTGAGTCGGGCAGGGGTCTCTCCATTAAACCCAGAGTTCGCTGATGTGGCTAGTCTTGCAACCAGCTTGATCTGGGGATCCCCTGTCTCCGCCTTCCATGGAATTACGTGTTGGCCACCATGTCCTCCCACCTGTTTGTCACACTTGCTTGGTAAGTGCTCTAGCTGAGCCATTTCCCCAGCTCCCGGAGCACAGGGGCTACGTGATGGTCTGGGAAAACGTAGCCAAAGATGGGACACTATAGTCAGCAGAAAGACATGTCCACACCAGGCGGGAGAGCTGTCTGGGGAATGCAAGGGAGACGAGAAGGGAGAGGCCCCTCACTCTTGCCGACTTCTATTTTGGTCTCTCGCTGGCTGACACTTGGAAGTTTTCATTATAACAGACAAGCTCATCTGCAAAAGGAGCTGTACTCTTTCTGAGAAATGTCACATACGAGACTGCTAAAAATTTCAAATGAACTATGCCTCAAGTCCAACCGCCTTGGGGCATATGTATAAGGAGTCCTTTGATGTATGTTTTCTCTCCTAACTCCCTTCTCCAGCTGCAAGTCTTCAGTGTACAAAAAGAAAAGGTCTCTTCAAGGAGACAGAATTTTGTGGGTAAGGAAAATAAAAGATTCCAGTACATGGTTTTTCCTAACGCCTAAGTTTAGCCCTAGATTAAGTAGCTTTAAAATCCCAGATCAGATATATAGCTGAACTACTTAGGCACATCCCCCTCTTAATACCCGCACTTGATTCTCTTCAAGTGCACATCTTTCTGCTTCATAAACAAACTCGCTAACTTTGCTTTGCTCTTGGGGCTGGAAAGATGGCTCCGTGGTTAAGAGTGCATACACACTGCTCTTGCAGAAGACCTGAGTCATCAGGCAGCCCACAACCACCTGTAATTCCTGCTCCAAGAGATCTGCAGGCACTGCACTCACATGCACAACCCCCCCCCCCCACAGGTACATGTATATATACATAATTAAAAATAACATCTGTGGTGGATGTCAAGGACCAGGGTGAACCTGAGTAGAGTCCCTCAGGCTCTGAGTGGGGCTCCTTACGTTAGACTGCTGGCAGTATTGAGTCACATTTCCAGGTGCTGGTGACACATGAGTTAGTTACAAAAGATCTGGGGGCTAGAGGCTGGAGAGATGGTTCAGTCGTTAAGAGCACTTGCTTTTCTCGCAGAGGGCTTGAAAAAGCAAGACCATCCCAAAGCAGGCGAAGTCATGCCTAATGATAACTAGAAGACCAATGTTTGAATATGCAAAGAAGATTCTAGAAGCGTATACAGTTAGCTGGGAAGGGAGAGAGCTCTTACTTACCAAGTGGGATCCTTCCCTTTATACAGCCATATTTTAATTTTCACTATAGGCATGTGTTATGAAAAGTTTTACAATCACCAAAAAATTTAAGAAAAAAAGATGCCTAGGGCTTGTTGCTTCACCAACCCTCTGGGACCCCTGCCGGGGACAAAGGACTTCTGGATCCCACCAGTGTGGCCAGAAGGAATGCTGCTTACCCGGGGCCCTGTGGCTCCATCTGGGCCTGGGTGGCCGGGCTCCCCCTGTGGAAACACATGGATGTCTGCTGGTGTGTGAGATTCTTATGCTCCATCTCACCTCCGTCCCCTCTTCCCCAAAGAGGCCAACGCCCATGTGCTGGGGCCTCATAGCCCGTGTAGAAGAGCAGCCTTCTACACTGAGTAGTGGTGGAGATTCTGAGGCCCAGGAGCCCAAGACTACATGATAGCTTACCCCAGAACTGGGCCTGAATGAGACCTTGTCGCTGGCTCTGAACCATGGACCACCCTCCCTCAGACCACCCTGCTTGTGAGTCAAAGGGGACCCCTGGTCCAGGCCCTCTGGGACTCGCTCTTTAAAAGTGCAAATTAAGAGGTAAAATCACGTTGTCCTCTGGTGACTGGGTGACAGTGTCAATGGGGCCTTCAGGTACTAGGCAGAGCATTGTGATATCACCTTCAGTCCTGGGGCACCGTCCGCTCCATTCTCTCCTTGGGGCCCCACATCCCCTGGCTCACCCTGAAATGGAGAAATTATCAGTGAAAACAAGCAGAGGTGCTAGCCTGGGGCCACTGGGCCTTGTGCTCAGGCCTCCTGGTGAATGTGGCCCTTCCGGGCTGGGGGATGGAGCTCGAAGCTCTCTCGAGCCTGAGGGGTTTACAGGACCACGACCACCTCCTTCTGGTCTGGATCTTGGCACACACCTGGGGTCGCTCAAGAGACTTTGCAGGTGCACATGTGTGTGAGTGCACATGTATGTGAGTGCATATGTATGTGAGTGCACGTGTATGTGAGTGCACGTGTATGTGTGGAAGTCAGGGGGACTCTGAGTGTCACTCCGTTAGCACCATCTTTAGTTCCTTCTGGTCTTGTTTTTGAGAAAGGATGTATCTCCCTGGCTTGGAACTTGCTACATAAGTAAAGCTGGCAGCCAGCAAGCCCCAGGGAGCTGATGGTCCTCCTCCTCAGTGCTGGGCAGCCACCATGCCTGCTTTCTTAAATAAATAAATTCCCTTTTTGAATTTAGCTTTTGAGACAGTTCTGGCTGTCTTGGAGCTCACAGAGACCCGCCTGCCTCTGCCTCCCGAGTGCTGGGATTAAATGAATGTCCCACCGCACCTAGCCCCCGCCTTTAAAAAAATGTGGGTTCTGGGGATCAAATTCACATCTCTGTGCTTGCAAGGCAGACATTGGACTGACAGCCATCACTTCAGTCTCTTGGGCTTCTTCCGAGTCAGAGTCTCACTCTGTAGCCCAGGCTGGCCTCAAACTCAGATCCTCCTGCCTCAGCCTTCTGAGTGGTGAGATTATGGGTGTGTGCCACCATGCTTGGTCCAAGAGACAGTCTGGAGGCAGGCTGGCTAGGAGCTTGGTGGCTGTGACGAAGGGTTTGGGGCACAAGGTGTGAAGATAGCATCCTATCCCCAGCTTGGCACTAGGCAGGGCGTGGAGAGACTAAGGTGGGATCCAAGAGGACTTAGGGTAGGGGAGACAGACGGTCTGGATGAGAAGCCAAGCCACTGCCAAGGTGTCCAGGGCCTACTGCTTCCTCCCTCTGGCCTGTCCTGGGAATTGGCCCATAACCCCGTGAAGTGAAAGGGCCCGGAAAGGGGCATCTCTGGTTAGATGGCAACTTTAGTGGACTTTGAGGAAGAGGGTTGTGTACTTACCTTGGGCCCCGGGGGTCCAGGGAGTCCTGGCTGGCTGGGCATCCCATCATCCCCCTGAGAAGGATAACATCTGAGGCTGAAGCCACTGCACGTGGACACGTGGGCCACACTTTTGAGTGGTCCAGCTGGCCCCTACCTGCTCTAGACTCACGGCACACCTGTCTGGTCCAGGCACTAGTGGCAGGTACTCCCCGCACTTAGCCCTCTAAGGCAGGGTCTGACCTGAATCATCTCAGTCCCTACAACAGCCTAGAACCAGCTTCAGTAGATTTCTGCAGACACAGGGCATGGACAAGTGAATGGGAGCAAGTTCACCAGTCAACAAAGAGCTGGTGAGCATTCCTTAGGGACCAGAGCACACACAGTCCCTGATCTGTGGACATGAGGGTAAAAAACAGAAGGCACTGTGCCTACCTAGCACATGGGGAGGGACCTAGGGACAGCCAGCCTTCTGGAGCATGGGGCAGCTTTGCTGAGACTTGGATGGGAAGAGGCAGCCAGCTTGTCACAAAGCAGAGAACATTCCAGGTCGGTGCTTGGTTCTCAACCTACACGTTCAGTGATCCAGAAGGCTGACTAAAGAGACCCCAGCCACACCCCAAAGTCTCAGGTGGGTCTCGGGTGAGCGGCAGTTTGCTTTCCTTCTCTCTTCCCTCCCCTCCACTTCCCTTCCTTTCCCTCATCCCCTCCCCTCCCCTTCTCTCCTTTCTCTATCTTCCCCTTTTCCTCCTTTTGGGCTCTCATGTAGCCCAGGCTGGCCTCGAACTCACTATGTAGCCAAGGGTCACTGTCCAGCTTCCACTTCTGGAGTGCTAGGATTACAGGTGTGCACCACCACACCTAGCTTACACTGTGCTGCAGGGTTAGATTCAGGACTTTGTGCTACTCGGGAATCCGGCCCCTTAGCTACTTCCCTAGCAACCAGAATTTGCATTTCTGACAAGGCCCCAAGTGATGGTGACAGTGCTGGGGATTTGAACTTAGGTTCTCATGCTTAAAATGCAAACATTTTAACCCACGGAACCATCTCTCCAACCCCTAGCAAAGGAGGTTTTTTTTTTTTTTTTTTGGTTTTTCAAGACAGGGTTTCTCTGTGTAGCTTTGCGCCTTTCCTGGAACTCGCTTTGGAGACCAGGCTGGCCTCGAACTCACAGAGATCCGCCTGGCTCTGCCTCCCAAGTGCTGGGATTAAAGGCGTGCGCCACCACCACCCGGCGCAAAGGAGGTTTTTAAGACAGTGAAATTACTGTTAGGTATGTTACTGGAGGGCACAAGCCACCACACATTTGTCCCACAACAGCACTAGGCACCCTCCTGTGAACGGTGGACTTTGGGGGACAACGTGTCAATGTAATTTCTTCAGTTGTGGCACATGTACCACTCTGACAGGGGATGCTAACAACAAGGGAAGCTACACGGACTACACATATGAGAGGCAGAGGTGTGGGGGTGTGGGGTGTTGTGGTGGGGTGGGCAGGGCGAGTGTGTGCAGGCCATACAAGAAAGCTCTGCACCTTTCCTTCAATTTTGCTGTGAATCTAAAACTACATAGAAAACAAAGTATTTTTAAAAACCAGAACTGGGCAGTGGTGGTGCACGCCTTTAATCCCAGCACTTGGGAGTCAGAGGCAGGTGGATCTCTGTGAGTTCAGGGCCAGCCTGGTCTACAGAGCAAGTTCCAGGACAGCCTGGGCTACACAGAGAAACCCTGTCTCAAAACAATACTACCACCAAAACCAACCAACCAACCAACCAACCTCACAAGCAAACAAAACAACCCCCAGCCCCCAAACCAAAAACAACCACAAACCCCAACAGCCAAGGTGTCTCGTGATTAAACCCTCATCATAGCTTGATGTGAAGTCAAGGCAAGAAAGATAGGCCATGCCCCCATTTAACAGGTGAATAAACTGAGCCCTACAGATGCAGTGACCTGTCTCTCCTTTGAACTGAGTCTCTTAACCTCCCTGCTTCAGTCTCACCGGGGGAAGTTGGGAGAAGGTGGGGAGCGAGGCGAAGGAGTAGGAGGGGTGCTGAGCACGCACCTTGGGTCCTGGAGGTCCCTTGGGGCCCTGGAACAAGAGAAGGGAGGTGTTAGAAGGGGAGTGAAGGCAGGAAGGTCAGGGTTCGAGTTCAAGGTCATCCTTGGCTACATAGTGAATTTGGGGCCAGTCTGGGATACATGAGACCTTGTCTCAAAAATGCCAAATCAGGGCTGGTGAACTGACTCAACCAGTAAAGGCACCGGATGCCGAAGCCTGGCGATGATCTTAGTTTAATCCCTGGACCCACACAGCGGGAGGAGAGAACCAGCTTCTCCAAGTTGTCCTCTGATTTCCATGTGGGTGTGGTGGTGTGTGAGTGCCCCCACACAGATACAATCATGCGCACACACACACACACACACACACACACACACACACACACACACAATCATAAAAATAAAAAAAACAACCCCAAATAAAACAAAGGAAAAGAAAACCAAGACCCCAAACTAAACAAAATAAAAAGAAAAGCCAGGGAGCTGGAGAGATGGCTCAGCGGTTAAGAGCACTGGCTGCTCTTCCATTGGTCCTGAGTTCAATTCCAGCATCCACATGGCAGCTCACAACTGTCTGTAACTCCAGTTCCAGGGGGATCTGACACCCTCACACAGACACAACAGCAATGCACAGAAAACAAACAGAACAACAACAACAATACCCCCCAGACTCCCCCAACGATGAAGGATTTGAAGGCCTTGTCAGGGCTCCAAGGGAACTATGCACCCATGTGGTACACAAATGTATATGCAGGCTAAAGATCCATATACATAAAATAATAAAATGATAATAAGTGAAATAAAAAAAGAAAACCTAAACCCAAACAACAAAACATGCCCCCTCGCACCAAAAAAACCAACCAAAAAAAAAAAAAAAAAAAAAAGAAAAAGAAAAAGAAAAAAAACCCGCAAAATTCTGACATCCAAAAAATTGGATACACTTCAAGGAAACTGCTGTATGTGGGGGGAAAAAGTCATTCTCAAAGTTATCCATGCAGCCTGGAGAGATGGCTCAGTGGTTAAGAACGCAGCCTTCCAGGTACTCCTGGGGCTTTCTTGTCATTTTCCTTTAATCAAGGGTGACATCACATCGCAGAAGAAGAGGCAGGCGTGGCTAGAAGCAGAGATGCTCAGCCAAGTCCTAGGGCAGCCTCCTTGTGCCTCGAGCAGTGGCTGTGTCGGGGCTCAAAAGGTGACAGAGGAACTGGGACTCTCATCCAGGAAGGGAGGTTCTAGAACTCTGTCCAGGTTGGGGACATAGGGATGGGCACACAAGCATGTACATCTCCATAACCCTGGGGTGGGGATATGAGGCGGGAGGGCTTATCTCGTCCACTTGATTAGATTCAGAATCACCATGGAGGGCTGGAGAGCTGGCTCAGAGGTTAAGAGCACTGGCTGCTCTTCCAGAGGTCCTGAGTTCAATTCCCAGCAACCACATGGTGGCTCACAACCATTTGTAATGAGATCTGGTGCCCTCTTCTGGCCTGCAGGCGTACATGCAGACAGAATCACCATGGAAACACACACCGGGTGCGGCTGTGAGGGCATTTCCGGAAAGGTTCAGCTGAATAGGGACGACCCATTAAAAGTGGGCACCACTGTCCCATGGACTGGGGGTCCTGGACTGAGTAAAAGGAGAAGGTGGTTGTGCAGCACCATTCACAATTCTCTGCTTTCTGACTGTAGACACTGTGTGACCAGCTGCCTCAGGCTTCTGCCACCACGCCCTCCCCCCAATGATGGACTGTACCCTCAGCCTATGAGCAAAAACCAGTCTTTCTTACTTGAAGTCTCTTTTGCCAAGCACATTGTCATAGCAATGAGGAAAGTAGCTATTACAGTGGGAAAGAGGCTTCCCTCCCCTGGAGCCACAGCCCTGCACTCTAGCCTTGCAAATACCCTGGACACTCACCATCTCGCCATCTTGTCCAGGTTCTCCTTTGGGACCCTAAGGAGGTATGTGAAAATAGCAGTGAGTGACCCACAGATGCCACATTAACTGAGCCTGAATCTCATGCCAGGACATGGGCAAGGGTTCTAAGTAGAGCATCCAAATTCACCTTCTTTCAGCCCTGAGAAGTGGTTGTTATAATGTCTCCACTTCACAGATGAGAAGGTTGAGGCTTTGGTAGTTATGCATCTATTGTGACAGTGAATAGATGGGCCAACTCAGAGGACCAGTCCTGATAGGAGCCCCTGGTCATCTAGTAGAGTCTCTGCACTGGAGGGAAGGACAGGTTGGAGTCTCTGGGATGAGAAAACTATTTTCTGTGGACTGGCCTCACATGGCCTCGGGGAGAAACTGAGGCTCATTAGTTAGTACTGAGGGAAAGGGAGCAGGGAGAGGAATAGGGGTTGGTGGAGAATTGCAGATAAAGGGCTCACCTGCGGGTCTCTGGGTCAGAGTTGGGGTGAGGATTTAGACTGAGCTTGCAACTCAAGGTTAGGGTCCATGGGTCTTTTAGGGTTAGACTTGGGTTTGCGGCCAGGCTCAGAGGCAGAGTCTGAATAATAGTCTGAGCTGGGGCATGGGACAGAATTTGAGGTCAAGGTCCTGATTAGGGCTAAGAAGCAGATCAGCTGCGGATGGAGTTAGAGTTGGGTCTAGGTTGAGTGCGTGCATTGGGTAATGGTTGGCGTTGGGCCTGCTAAGAATAATGCTGGTTTGGAGCTGGCTCTGGGAATCAGGGTTCAGCGTGTGAGCCAATATAGGACCAGCTAGCTCTTGGAGGCCCCAGTTCCACGCCTTCTCTTACCGCTGGGCCTTGAGCGCCTCTGGGGCCGTCTTTCCCAGTGTCACCAGGAGGGCCTCGGGCCCCAGGTGGTCCAGGGGGCCCAGGAGGTCCTGCAGCTCCATCTTGCCCTTGGGCTCCCTGAAAGACACATGGTTTGACTTGACCCTGAGGGTGAGGGCGACGGTAAGGTTCTAGCTTCCAGAAAGAGGCTTTCTTAGATGGGCAACCCTTGTGCCTTCCTGTTGCCCAGCCTTGAGGCGGGCACAAGGCTTTGAAATTGGGCTCTGGCTGCTTCTTGGTAGCTGCAGGAGGGGACCTTGGTGGAACAGACCCAACAGGACCTAGCTGCCACCTTCTCAGCATCTGAAGCCTGGATCTGTTGTCAGGAGGGAAAATGGCATGTGCTGGGTAGGTGAGACAGTGTCTCCTGCAAGAATGTCCTACTTGGTCCTCTCTTGGCTGCATTAAAAGGGGCAGACATGCATGAGCGGGCATTTATTTTATGCTCACACACAACTGCATGTGGCTATTTGGTAGCTTTCTTTGTAACTGCCTGAAATGGAAGCTCTCAAAATATCCCTCCCACAGGCGAGAGGCTGAGCTCCATGTCATATTATGACATACCACTCAGCAGTAAACAGAAAAGGAACAGGCAAAGCCCAGCACTTGGGAGGTTGAGGCAGGAGGACTGCTGTAAACTTGAGGCCAGCCTGAATTACAAAATGAGTTCCAGAGCCAGACGGTGGTGGCACAAGCCTTTAACCCCAGCACTCCGGAGGCAGAGGCAGGCGGTTCTCTGTGAGTTCGACAGAGTGAGTTCTGTGACAGCCAGGGGTATACAGAGAAACCCTGTCTTTAAAAACCAACCAACCGCCGGGCGGTGGTGGTGCACGCCTTTAATCCCAGCACTCGGGAGGCAGAGCCAGGCGGATCTCTGTGAGTTCGAGGCCAGCCTGGTCTCCAAAGCGAGTTCCAGAACAGGCACCAAACGTACACAGAGAAACCCTGTCTCGAAAAACCAAAAAAAAAACCAACAAAACAAAACCAACCAACCAACCAACCAACCAACCAACCAACCAACCAAACAGCCAAATCAACCAAAAAAACCAAAATGAGTTCCAGACCAGCCTTACCTACAAAGTGAGATCCTGTTTCAAAAACAAAAACAGAGTATATAGTGATCCCAGCATGGCACCCGGGGGCAGAGCCAGGAGGAGTTCAAGGTCATCCTTGGCTACATAGTGAATTCGAGGTCAGTTTGGGATACATGAGACTCTGTCTCAAAACATCTAAACCAGGGCCAGTGAGACTGCCGAACTGAAAAAGGCCGAACTGCCAGAGCCTGGTGACCTTGGCTTGATCCCCGGGATCCACAGAGTGGGCAGAGAGAACTGACTCCCAAGTTACCCTCTGGCCTCCATGCTTGTGCTGTGCTGTGTGTGTGCCCACACATATTTACATGCACACAAAAAATACGTTATGAAAAAATCCAAACTGTGAAGTCCAAACCAAAACAAAGGAAAACGAAAATTAAAACAACATACCCCTCCCCCCCCCCCCAAAAAAAAAGAAGAAGAAGAAATACATTTTTTTCTTTTGATTTTCTGAGACAGGGTTTCTCTGTACAGTCTGGCTGTCCTGGAACTCACTCTGTAGACCAGGCTAGGCTCGAACTCACAGAGATCTGCCTGCCTCTACCTTCTGAGTGCTAGAATTAAAGGCATGCACCACCACCGCCCAGTTTAGAAATACATTTTTTTTAAAAGATTTAGCTATTTATTATATATACATATTCTGCCTGCATGTATACCTGCAAGCCAGAAGAGGGCGCCAGATCTCATTACAGATGGTTGAGAGCCACCATGTGGTTGCTGGGAATTGAACTCAGGACCTCTGGAAGAGCAGTCGGTGCTCTTTTTTTTTTTTTTTGGTTTTTTTTTTTTTTTTCGAGACAGGGTTTCTCTGTGTAGCTTTGCGCCTTTCCTGGAACTTGCTTTGTAGACCAGGCTGGCCTCGAACTCACAGAGATCCGCCTGCCTCTGCCTCCCAAGTGCTGGGATTAAAGGCGTGCGCCACCACCGCCCAGCAACAGTCAGTGCTCTTAACCACTGAGCCATCTCTCCAGCCCCTAGAAATACATTTTTGATACATGAAAAACTTGTGTACTATAGCGAAACTATGCTAAATGAAGAAAATCCCCCAAAGTTATACATGGACCTAGAGAGATGGCTCAAAGGTTAAGAACACTTACTGCTCTTCCAGAGGACCTGGGTTCAATTCTCAGCACCCATTCCCAGCAATGGCAGCTCACAACTGCCTGTAACACCAGTTCCAGGGGATCTGACACCCTCTGGCCTCTCTAGACACTGTATATACATGCTATACGTCAAGCAGGCACACACACATATACAAATAAAATATTAAATCTTAAAAATTATTTTAAAAAGTTATACACTGTATGATTTCACACACCTGATATTCTTTTTTTTTTTTTTTTTTTGAGACAGGGTTTCTCTGTGTAGCTTTGGGGCCTTTCCTGGAACTCACTCTGTAGCCCAGGCTGGCCTTGAACTCACAGAGATCCTCCCAGCTCTGCCTCCCGATTGCTGGGATTAAAGGCATGAGCCACCACTGCCTAGTAAAATTCTTTTTTTTCAAAAATTTTTTTAAAAAAAATTTTCAAGACAGAGTTTCTCTATGTAACAGCTCTGGCTGCCTGGAACTCACTCTATAGACCAGGCTGGCCTCAAACTCACAGGGATCTGCCTGCCTCTGCCTCCTGAGTGCTGGGATTAAAGGCATGTGCCCAGCACCTGTTATTCTTGAGTGGAAAAGTTAAAAAGTTGGAAATTAGTGGTTGTCGGGATCTAGGGGGGAGGGAGGGAGGTGATCCTATATAGGAAAGGAGAGCATGAGGGATCTTTGTCTGGGTTATATGAGTCCATATAAGTTAACACTATATGGAAGAAAAAAATACCTGCACATACACACCCACGTCCACCCCCCCCCCACACACACTAGGTTTTCTGTATCCCAATAACATAATGATGACACTACAAGATGGGGTTGTGCCCGAGGATGGTCAAAAGCTGCGGGGCTTAGGTGGGGACTTGGGCTGCTGGCGGCAGCAGGGCAGGAAGTTGCCATAGTCGCCAGGAACACAAAACTGGGCTTTTTGGCGCCTTTTCTTTGTTGGAGATTCTCTGAGAGGGCGGCTTTGGAGAGAGAGAGAGAGGACTGGAGCTTTCCAGATCATACAGGGGTGAGCTGGAGGTTCCAACCGAACAACACACACACTCATTCATACACACGTCCGTGCACACTCATACACGCATGCACACATACAGTCAAGCAACACACATTTGCACACACTTATTTGCAGATGCTCATACACTCATGCACACACAGCTAAACACATACACTCACATACGCTTGTGCTCACACACTCACGTTCAAGCACAGACACTCGTGTACACACAAGCATGTGTAGACTGAGGAAGTCTGAGTAAGGCTGGTGGTTTGAATCACCATCGGCTTCCAGACTGACAGGTCGGATCACAGGGGTGCATGATGTCCCCTTAGGCACAACCGCATGAAAGGTACACAGGACTTATTTACCACACGTGCAAGTGAGTTCACAGTGACAGGCAAGTAAGGGTCACACAGTCTACGTCACACAAAACCCCTGACCCTCTACCCTGTGTTAGTACCAGGTCAGACCTCAGGCATGCCGAACCCCCATCACGGCCCACCTGCACAGCACAGGTGATGGTCCACGGTGTAGTGGCTCCCGACTTTCTGGCAACCAGGAAAGGAAGAAGCCTTATGTGAACCCTGCAAACACTTCCTGTAGAGTGTAGGTGGTCTCACACAGCCTCTCTGAACTGCTGGCCGGGGCCAAACTACCTCCCATCATGCAGATGAAGTGCCTGGGGGCTGGGGACGGTAATCTCTTACTTAGGGCTACTGAACTAAGAAAAACTGAACCTTCTCCTGCTGCCAGGGCAACTGGTCTTTTAAAAGATCATTTAATTTTTTTTTTTCCAGACAGGGTTTCTCTGTGTAGCCCTGGCTGTCCTAGAACTCACGGAGATCCACCTATCCCTGTCTCCTGAGTGCTGGGATTAAAGGCATGCACTACCATGCCTGGCTTTATTTTTAGGTTTTTTAAAAAAAATTTTAAATTTTCATTTATTTAATGTATGTTTATGTTTTTTTTTTCCCCTGCATATATTGCCTGGTACCCATGGAGGTCAGGAGAGAGCACTAGGTTCCCTGGAATTGAGTTAAAGATGATTGTGAACAGCCATGTGGGTGCTGGGAATCGAACCTGGGTCCTCTGGAAGAGCAGCCAGTGCTCTTAGCTGATCAGCCATCTTTCAAGCTTCTATTTTTCACTTTTCCCCCCATTTTGTGTGTGTGTGTGTGTGTGTGTGTGTGTGTGTGTGTGTGTGTGCGCGCGCGCGCGCATGCGCGCGCGTGTGTGTGCGTGCATGTGTTTGCAGATACATGGGCACACACATGCTTGCATGCATATGTGCCTGAGGTCGATGTCAGGAATCATCCTCAATAGCTCTTCCACCTATTCATTGAAGCAGGGTCTCTTAATCAGAGCCAGAGCTTGGTAGATGAGGCTCGTCTTGCTAGACAGCTTGCCGTGGGATTCTTCTGTCTGCCTTCTGAAGCTGGAATTATTACAGGTGAGCTGCCACACTCACTGGGCACTTTGTTTCTGTTCTAGGGGTTCGAACCCCGTGCCAGAATTGCAACTGGTCTTTTTCAGATATTCTTTTCCATCTGTGCCTCCTCCCTTACCAGGAAAGAGCGCACCTCTCTGGCAGACTATGTTTCACACCCATATCGCTCAATTTCCTCAGTAAATGACCGGCAGCTCTCTACGGCTACCACTCAGATTTCCTGCTCAGTATGGCATGGCCAGGGCCCTGATCAGAGAGTTATAAGTCTAGGCCCCAAATCAGCATTGCGATTGGATATCCGGTCTCAGTGAAGATGAGTGGACATCCCTATTTCATTCAGGACTGAGTCCAGAAGGATTCGATTCTCCCTTCTGCTGTTCATTTGCTCGTAGCGCAGAGGCTCTGGACTGGGCACTCCTGGCTTGGACTCAACTTATCAAGACAGAAACAATTTTTGACTCCTGTACAGGCTTTTGTTTTTTGAGACAAGGTCTCACTAGGTATCCCTAGTCCTGGCTGGTTCAGAGCTTGCTATGTAGACCAGGCTAGTCCTGAACTCACAGAGATCTGCCTGCTCTGCCTCCTGCTACTTGGAGTAAGGTGTGTGCCCCCTTATTTTTTCTCCCTAACTATGCCCCGTCTCTCTCCAGGATTGGATGGCTGAGGTCTGGCCCTGAAAACACAGGGTGAGTAAGGGTTGGGGAACACAGCAAACTAGCAGGCCAGGCCCCCTCACTCGGACAGTCTACCTTGAGGACACGGAGATTGTACCCACGATGATCTCTACTTATAAAGCCTGTGTTGAGCCGTGGGAAAACCATCTAGATGGCAAACAGGTGGTGTGGTCAGAAAAGCAGGAAAGGACTGCAAAAGTCACCAGGCAAAGCCACCTAACGCAGCCCAGAGAAAGGCAGTTTATGGCTGGGTATGCTGAACCGAACCAACACTCATTTTTTCGACCCCCTGTGACAGAATAGAATAGAATGGAATAGCATAGCACAGCATAGCATAGCATAGCACAGCATAGCACAGCATAGCACAGCATAGCACAGCATAGTATGCAGCAGGTGTCATACTGGGTGGAGCTCCTAAACAGGTGGGGCAGCTGTCACTTCTGGCTTCTTAGAAAGCTGCTCCCAGCTGGGCGGTGGTGGCGCACACCTTTAATCCCAGCACTTGTGAGGCAGAGCCAGGTGGATCTCTGTGAGTTCAGGGCCAGTCTGGTCTACAGAGCAGGAACCAAAATTTACACAGAGAAACCCTGTCTCGAAAAACCAAAAAAAAAAAAAAAAAAAAAAAAAAAAAAGAAAGAAAGGAAGAAAGAAAGAAAGCAAGCTGCTCCCAGAAGCCTCTCTAAGAACGCAGTCCCAAATAGGGAGGAAGCCCCAGGATGCATGGGAAGCCACACTGGCTGCTTCCCAGCTGAGTGGGAACAGACACATCAATGATAAACCTGTGAAGGGCGTCATCACCTGGGTCCCCAGAACACTCTGCCTGTAGCCATAAGAGAGCCACCTTAGTTAACTCCAGGGACCCTGAGAGACAAGGGTGAATTGTCCTTTCAAGCCACAAAGCCTTTCTGTAGGGGAGGGGAGTTAGTTCACAGACGGCTGGAACAGCAAGGCAGGAGGAGGCAGGCTATCCCTGGGAAGGCAAGGAGCTTTGGAAGAAATGGTCTGTTTGGGGAACTCAGGACCAGATGGATCCTGATCATCGCAGGCTGGGCAACTCTACTGGGAAGATTAACTTCCACAAATCCCAGCTGAAACCAACATTTCCCTCAGCAGTCACTTGGTAAGGGAAATATCCTTTCTTTGACTCAGAGAAATTCCACTGCCTCTGTGGCCCTGGTCCTGACCTCTGTCAATGGCCCAACAGGGGACAGCTCTGCCCATCAAAACTCAGCCTGCCTCATCCCCCTGCCCGCTCCTGCTCATGTTATCACAACAAACACCTTGTGACGTAGGCCCCATTATTGGTATTTTATAAAACCTGGGCTCTGAGCCTGCAGAGCTGGGTCTTGCTTGCCCACCCTGACCACAGAGCTCCAGCCTGTGTGCTCTGCCCTTTCTCCCCTCTCTTCATCCGCCAGAGACTGTGTTCTGGGTCCAAGCAGCTCACACATTCTTCGCCCAATCCCGCCCTAAGATGACAGACTGTTGGTGTGAGTCAGTGACCTTTGCATCAATATGTTCTGGGGCCCCAAACCTTCTTCCACATGACCCAGTCCTTCTCTGGGCAGCTAATGCCTACCTCTTAGTCTCTTAGTAGTCAGGGGACTCTGCCCAGAACATTCCAGAAATGGTGAGGACATCTTGTCTAGAGCTACTTAAGTGCTCCTCTGCCAAGACCCACTTTTAGGGACCACCTAAGACTCAGCACAAGCACTTCTAGATTTCTGGACCCAGGGGACACAGGTAGGCTGGAGGGGACACCTATCTCCAGTCCCCATGCTGAGTCCTGCTGTCAACTATTGACATTTATGGTTATGATGAATCTTCACAGAACTTGCTGTGTGTGTGTGTGTGTGTGTGTGTGTGTGTGTGTGTCGGGGGGCGGGGGAGCGGTTGGTGGTGGCAGCTGTCATCCTCTCATAGTTGAAGGGTCTGAATTTCTGGGAAAAGTGACTTGTCAAGGTCATGGGTCTGGGAGGTGACAGGGCTGAGCTCTGGGATCAGAACTGCTGACCTCAGGACCTTCACCTTTTCCTGAGTGCCAGCTGTCTCGTGAGATGGTCAGCATCTGGTTGTGACCAGGGCTAACCCCACTGTCTGGCCACCATGGTGACAAGCATGACAACCAGGACATCTGCCAGATACTGTCATGTAGGTGGGAGGTAGCAGTCTCAATTAGGTGAGGGTACCTGGGGGCTTTCACGGTGGGTGGGGGACAGAGGTGGGGAGGAGAGGCTATCTCACTCTCCTGTTTCTGGGATAAGCTGTGGTGAGATGGGACTCCCAAAGAAATGCTAGAAATGCCTTATTATAGTAATATTAAACAAACCATGCGTAGTGGATGAGGGAGGTGGTGCTCCATTCTTACCCGCGGGCCGAAGTCTCCTGGTGCACCCTGGGAACCAAACACAGGGAAATGAATGGCCACTGATTACATTATTTCTCCGCATTTCCTCTTGAACATTCACTCTGTGCTTGGCGTAAATTCTAATGAAAACAGCAGGCCGGCCTTATTTTAACTCCTCACTTCCAGTGAGGGCAGTGAGGCTCAAAGAGGTTAAGGATTACGCCCGAGGTCACACAGCCAGCAAAGTGAAGCCAGGCAGTTCCTCATCTATGGCTGCATCCCAGACATTCAAGATCCCAGACACAGTGTGGCCTCTGGGTGGCTGCTCCCACTGTGTCCACCCACAGTTCTCGAACCTTGGACTAGGGAGAGATAATAAAGCCATGAGCTTTGAAACGGGCTATGTAGCAAGAGATACAAAGGAGCCTGATTCTCCTTGATCTCAAAGCCCCAGAGTTGTTTCTATGGCTTTGATGACATCAGCCAGAAACAGCCAAGAAGATAGATACGATACCTACCAGCTGTACCAGCATCTCATCCACCCACCAACAAAGGACCATTCAGACCATGACCTCATGAGACCTCCCCATAGCTCTGAGAGGCTGCTTTTATACAGATGGACAAATTGAGGCCTTTGCAGCTGGGTAACTTGCCCAAATCACACAGCAGTGGATCTAGAATGTGGAGAGGAGACTCTGAGCCATCAGGTCCTGTGTCTTTCCACGGCTTTCTCAGCCCTGTTGGCAGTTAGGGGCACTGACTGGTTTGTTCGTATTACCTAGGGATAGCTGCATGTGGCCTCTGAGGTCCTCACTTAGTCCTGCCACTCGGAGCTCTGCTCTGGTTCTTCTTCCTCCAGATCCCTCATAATGTCCACACAAATCTCCTCTGCTCCTTTCCAAGGAACTTGGTGGGTCCTATGTTTAATGCCAAGTACCAAAGGGGCCATTTCCCAGAGCTGTTGGATCTCATGTTCAGAAGCATACAGTCTCTTCCAGGGTAGTTGCTCTTTGGAGTCTAAACTCCATCTATTTATCAGTGGATGGGCCATCCATATTTATATCCATTTATTTACTCATCTACTTATTAACTCATTCATCTTTCTACTCATCTACCTACACATCCATCCATCCATTCATCCATCCATCCACACACACATCTACCCACCTACTCATCCACCCACCCACCCATCATCCATCTATCCATCCATCCACCCACGCATCCACCCACCTACTCATCCACCCACCCACCCATCATCCATCCATCCATCCATCTGCTCACCCACCCATCCAATTTCTTCATGAGGGGCTGCCAAGATAGCCCTCTGCCATTTGTGTCCCTAAAGGGGTGTCTTCCCCACAGATAACACCATCCACCATCACCATTCATGCTCCAAGCCCTCCAGACACGTTGCTCACTGCAGAAACTGCCTTTGTTTTGTTATGCTGGGACACCAGAATCCAGACCCAACCCTCCCTGCATGTGGTACATGAACTTGTGGTCCTTTTTGGAGATAGGCATTGGCATTGCTTGCTTTACTCTACAGATGGGGAATTTGAGGCTTGGGGGTTGGGGGTTGACTTGCTCAACTTTCCCCTCTGGAATCAAGGTTAGAGTTGGCTGCTGGCATCCTTCATCAGCCCACGGTATCCAGACAGCATCCAGCTGCACTTACCTTTTCCCCTTTGGGGCCTGGAAGTCCCTGGGCAAGGAAGACAGAGAAAAAACAGGCATGAGTGAGGTGAGCTAGGCTGGCTCCACTTCCGGTTGACCCATGGCCATGAGGGCAGAGGGATGTGTGGGGCTAGCAGAACCGTGGGCATCTGAGCGGAACACTACACAGGCCTGTCAAGCTGTCCCTGCTGCCTCCTGGAAGCTCCACACCTGTCCTCAGCATGATGGAGACGAGGGTTTGAGGGTCAGCAGCCGGGGTTCACAGGCATCCTCTGAGCAGGAAAAGGGTGTATACACTAGTTTTTCTCTCTAGAGGGCACACACATTCCATGCTTTGTCTCTGCTGGGGAGGAGGTCATTGTCCAGAATTGCCATCTATTCTCCAGAATACTTGCCTTTAAGAGCAGTAGTCTCTTGAATTTTAGGTTCCATCCATCTACCCTTCAATAGGTCACCCACCCCCCACCTACCCATTTATCCATACATTCACTCTTTTCCTACCCTCCCATTTATCTATCTATGTACTCATCTACTCATCTACCCACTCATCCATTTACCCATTCATGTGTGAATGCATGCATTCATCCATTCATCTACCCATCATCCACCTACCCATTTATCTGTTCCATTCATCTATCCACTCACCTATTTACCTACTCATCTACCCATCCACTCATTTATCCATGCATTCACTCATTTGTTTATCCTCCCATTTATCTATCCATCCATCCATCCATCCATCCATCCATTCATTCATCCATCCGTCTATCCACCCATATATCTACCCACCTACCCATATGTCCACCTACCTACCCACTCATCTACTCAATCCCCATCCATGCACTCATTTATCCACTTATCTACCCATCTATCCATCCTTTCAACCACCCACTCATCTGTCCACCCATCCATTAATCCATCAATCTACCACCCATCTATCAGCACACCTATCTGCCTACTGGTTCACCCACACCCCATTATTTATTTAATTGTGCTTATATTTCCTTGTGCACCTTGTTCATCTGCTGAGGATGCCTGTGGACCGTGGACTCCTGGAACAGGTATTGAGAACTTCCCAGCCTAATGCCCATCATGGAAGTCTTGAGAATGTGTTAGACATTCTGTGTCTAGGGCCTGTTGAGATGGACTCGTAAACTTTGAAGGCGACTAAATGCTGGGAACTGTGTTGCCCATGGCTCTCTATAACTTCCTAACACCCCCTAGGAGAGGATGCTTAGAGGTAGAAGGGGAAAGGCATCTCCATGATTGCTCACTCAGCAGATGGTGGCGATGGATTTGAATTCACATGACAAGTGGCTTTGTCTTGTTATACTATAGCTGCTGAACTAACTTCTCAGTCCCTTCCTGCATCCCATGGTCACTCCACCCCCACAGCGGCAGCCTACCCCAGGGCCATCTAGTACTGTTGTGGTGACTTACTGGCTTGCCGTCCAGACCCAGAGGTCCCTGGAACATGAGAGAGAGCAAGGGTTACACACAGGAACATTCCTTCCACGTCTTAGGACCCCAGTGCATTATATAGTGACGAGAAATCAAAGCCTGTCCTGAGTCCTGAGGTCAGGGTACATCCCAGGTGGCCCGGGTAGGGAGTGGGGGAAGGACATTTGTGTGTAGTCAGCCACTCAGAATCCCCTCCTCCGATAAGAGAACCCCAATTCTTCTCTAAAGCCCTCCCCATCATTAAGTGGGACTGTTGAGGGTGGGCAGCGACCATGCTTTCTTGTCAAGGTGACAGGTGTAGGCCTGGGGTGCAAGCTGAGCCATGAGCATCATGCCGGACTTCCAATGGTGCTCTCAAGGGGAAAGGGGCTCTTTTTCCCCAATGGGATTAAACCAGGGTTCCTTGGCCCCCCAAGTGGCTTGAGAGAGAGAGTGCCACGGAGAAGAAAGCAGAGCTGAGAGTCTGAAAGAAAGACAGTGCCCAGGGCTCGAGGCTGTAGTGCTGCTGTGGTCCTGCACACTTCTGCATACTGGGGTTTCCCTGAAGCCAGCTTGACGTGAGTAGCTGTCACTTAGATTGGATGACTCTGGAAGGCTGAGCATTCCGCTGTGGCATGGGACAGCAAGGGCTGAGAGAAGCTAGATGATCCTGGGGCCAGGGCTGAGGGCAGGGTATCTTAGGACCGCCAGGCCCCCGTGGTGTATGCAGAGGGCCACTGACCCTAAGACTGAACGAGTCTCACCCTGTCTCCTTCTCGGGCTAGAAGGATATAACATGTGGGGATTCTGCAGACCAGGGTTGCTTGGTCACTGCAAGCCCCTGTCCCCTGTCTTTGTCACTACTGTCCCCTCATCCCCATGTGTATGTCACCTTTTTTTTTTTTTTTTTTTTTAAGAAACATTTTAGTTTAACATGTACTTCACCTTTGACCCCAGGAGCATTGCCTGCAGCCCCACCCTTCTGAGTCTTCGCGTACCCTGTCCCCGCTGCCTGGCTCACCCTTCTCTTTTCTGCACATCTTTCCCTTTTTTTTCTTTAAGATTTATTTATTATGGATATGGTATTCTACCTGCATGTACACCTGCAGGCCAGAAGAGGGCATCAGATTCCATTCTAGATGGCTGTGACCCACCATGTGGTTGTTGGGACTTGAACCCAGGACCTCTGGAAGAGCTGCCAATGAATGCTCTTAAGGGCTGAGCCATCTCTCCAGTCCCTGTTTGTTTGTTTTTGTTTTTCGAGACACGATTTCTCTGTGTAACAGCCCTGGATACCCTGGAACTCTCTCTATAGCCCAGGCTGGCCTCGAACTCACAGAGATCTGCCTGCCTCTGCCTCCCGAGTGCTGGGATTAAAGGTGTGCGCCGCCACTCTCTCTAGCTTGGTTACCTCCTCTTCCACTAAACCTTCCAGGTGTCTTTATATCCTACAGTCAGGTCATTTGTCCCCGTTTCTGGCAATATAATCTGATGGCTGCATGCTTAATGTGTGTTCTACCTAAGTGTCTTTGATAGCCAAGAAGAAAGTTTCCTTCCCTGACTCGAGCACATGAGTGAGGCCTGAACACGTGGCCAGGGAATGCTTGGGTCAAACATCCCTCCTCAGAAAACCTGAGCTCTAGGCTGTGACTGCAGCTTGGTTGGTAGAGTGTTTGCCTAGCGTGCACAAAGCTCTGGGTTCAATCCCCAGCACCACATCAAAACCAGACACACCTGAAACCCCAACCTTCAGAAAGCTGAGGCAGAGGGAGCCATAATTGCAAGGTTAGCTTCAACTTCATAACGAGTTCAAAGCCAGTCTGCACTACTTTGGACCCTGTCTCAAAATCTGAAATTTCAAGTAGCAACACAATGCCCAACCAGTGGCCTCCTTCATGTGGTGAAACTTTGCTTTATGCACACAGTTATTTAACATATTTCATTAACAGCGGGCTCTGGGCATAAGGTATACTTGACATGTCAGGGGTTTTGTGTTTAGACTTGGGTCCCATCCCTATAATAGCTCGTCATACATATGCAAATACAGGTTGAGTGTCCTTCATCCACGAGGCTTGGGACACATGTATTTTGAATTTTTCTTTTTTGCATTTGGAATGTTTGCATTTACATAATGAGACACCTTGGAGATGGTCCCAAGTGCAAACATGAAATGCATTTATATTTCATTCGCATATTATCTGCATATCTTGAAGGTAATTTTGCATGATATTAATAGTTCGGTCTGCTAAGAACAATGTCACACTGTAGAATTTTCCAGCTGGGTGTTATGCTGATAATCAAAAAGTTTCCGACTTTGGAGCACTTCAGATTTGCAGATGAGGGATGTCAACCTGTCACCCGAGGGAGGAAGGAGAAACAAACGGGACAGACAATGGATGAATCCTGACACTTCACAGCCAAGAAGGGGGCATGTTCAGCTTTGGGCTGGGGGTAGTGGAAATGGTTAGGGAGAGCCACTTGGGGAAATAATACTTGAGGATTTGGATCTAGTTTGGATGTGGTGAACGTGAGGGGAGGTAGGCAGTGTGGACAAAGAAGGACCCGACTAAATCGGAAACAGGGAGTGTTGGGGTCCTGATCTTTAGGACAGAGTTGACCCACAGTAATCATCTTTTTTTAAATTTTTTTATTATTATTATTTTTTCGAGACAGGGATTCTCTGTGTAGTTTTGGTGCCTGTCCTAGATCTCGCTCTGTAGACCAGGCTGGCCTCGAACTCACAGAGATCCACCTGCTTCTGCCTCCCAAGTGCTGGGATTAAAGGTGTGCGCCACCACTGCCCGGCAGCAATCATCTTTAGGACAGAGTTGACCCACAGCCATGACCTGCAGAGGTGGTTCTGGGCTTATCTCTGATGAGGCCCAGATAAGAAAGGTCTCTGAATTAATTCCCCTTCTGGGTGAGTGGTTGGGTCTCAGAGAGACTTCTGGGTGGAGGATGTTTACTGGGAGTCAGTGGCCACTGAGGAGGAGGGGCTGAGAGGTAGGTAGAGGAAGGGACATCCTTCTTTGTAGTCAGATGGATCTCCCTGGCTTAATGACATGCTTCTGATGTCCCTTTTGTCCTGGCAGGATGGAAGTGGGAAGGGGAGGGCTGAGTTGCTCTGAGCTGTGAAACTTCCTAGGGTGGAAACTCATCTCTCCTCTACCTGCCTCAGACTGATGCCCCGTGGTCCACTATCCTGTAGGCTTGTCCATGGAGAGATTCTGTGGTCCAGGAAGTCTGAGAAACATTTAGTTTCACTCTGTGAAGCAGGTTTCTTTCCCACAAGCCTTGTCCAGATCATTTTCTAGTTTGGGGGTTTCCAGTCTCATGGGTGCCCCTGCCCCCCATCTCAGGGCCTGGCTGAGACTAAGCATAACAACCCAAGTATGAGGCTATATGGACTGTTTACAAAGTAGACATTCCCGTGGGCTGGAAAAGGGCTTAAACCTGGCTCTGGGTGCTTGCAAGAGAGAGGGAGAGGTGCCTCAGGGAAGGGCTAGGAGATGGTTTGGCTAATTCTTGAACAAATCTGGCTGTTGCATGGTCAGGCTACTTAAGGCAGGACAGAGTCCAGACAGACTGGAAGGACAGAGCCCCAGACTGGCTGGATGCATGCTCTTGGTGGCAGGATTAGGTCTGGGTATCTTTCCCATCAAGGCAACCCACCCCTCCCCAGACAATGGGGAACCAACCATCAGCTACTCCCGCCCTTCCAGAATTCCCTGCATGAAACACTAAGGAGTAAAGTAGCTTGAGCCTCGCTCGGCCTGGGTTCAAATCCCTCCTCTGACCCACGCTACCCCGCCTGTGGGAGACCCTTCTCCTTCCTGATCAAAGCCATAGGATCCACCAGAGGTTTTCATCACCCTCTGCCCTCCGTGAAACCCCACAGCTGTTTACAAGTCTCAGTTCTGCTTGAAGTCGCTTTTCCTCGAGGAGATCAGCTGGCTCCCGGATGTTTCTGGATGTTCGAGGAGCAAATAAAACCACAGGCTGTACATGAATCGAGAGCAAAGCCCCAGGCAGGCTCAGTCTCCTGCCTCACTCAGTGACCGGGACATCCCAGGCCTTGAGCTTATCCACAAGGTGGGAGGCATGCTGTTCTCTCAGTGACAAGTTCAAGTCAGCCTCCCTTTTTTCTTCCTCTCTTAGATTCACCCACGACAGGGGATAACTACAGGCTAGCTGATACAGAATCAGTGTTTGAACCGGCCTTGGCAGAGGCAGTGCTGGGAGTGAACTTCCTGCAGCTTTCTGAGTGGGTAGTGCTACCTACTGATTTTTTTGTTTTTTGTTTTTAGACAAGGTCTCACACTGCAGTCCTGGCTAGCCTGGAACTCACCATGTAGACCAGGTTGGCCTCACATTCACAAAGATCTGCTTGCCTCTGCTTCCAAAATGCTAGGATTAAAGATGTGAGCCACTACTCCTGGCACCCTTAAAAAAAAATGATTTGGGTCTGGAAAGATGGCTCAGTGGTTAAGAGCGTTTGCTGATGTTGTTGCGGGGGACCTGGGTTTGGTTCTCGGAACCTACATAATGGTTTATGACCCTTGGTAACTACAGTTTCAGAGAGCTGATGCCCTCTGGACTTGGGCGCCAGGTAGGTATATGGTACACATGCATGCAAAGCTTATAAATAAATACATAAACAAACAAACAAATAAATAATATTAGGTCCATTTATAAAAATGATTTATTTTATTTTTAATTTTGTGTATGTGTACCCACAGAGGCCAGAAGAGGACTGTGGATCCCTTGAAGCTGCAGTCATAGGCAATGGTTCCTTCTTTTACTGCCTCGTTAAGTTGGTCCTGAGCAGGGGCACATGGAGCCATCTTTTGAGAACTGAGAACAAGTATGGCAGGAGGCTTCCTTCCTTCCTTCCTTCCTTCCTTCCTTCCTTCCTTCCTTCCTTCCTTCCTTTCTAATTTATTTATTTTCATTTTATGTGCATTGATATTTTGCCTACATGTATGTCTGGGTGAGAGTGTCGGATGCCCTGGAACTGGAGTTCCAGA